AAAGGCAGGCTCGAGCAAAGCCCTCAGGGCCCCTAACCTGTAGCCCAGGCAGGGGCCCCGCCTATGAGAAACTTCCCTGGGCAGGGGGAGCTGACGGCTGCTCTCACCTGCACCGCCCTCGGTGGGGGCCTGGGATGCTGCAGACCCCACAAACCAGGAAACCCCAACTGCCACCAAGCTCAAGTGGGCCTTGTGGGAGAAGAATCAACTCCTTCCTGTTTTGAGTCCCTCCCTTTTCCCAAAGCAGGTGAGGCTTGACTGGGACAATGGTTTTCCCCAAACTACAGGCGTATCCATTTATGGTTCTTCCATTCAGTTCATTCAGTTCAGACCATTTCACGCCAGGTCAGACCACAGGATTCCATCCAGGTTTGCAGGCTTTGGCGGCGGGCCCGTAGCAGTGGTACTTTGGGAGCTGCACTTTTTTGACATTGTGTGTGCTGTCTCCCTGAATCTATGTTTCTCTAATTCTCATCTATCTTTACCCCAAATATGCTATGAAATGATTTGGTACTCCCACTTAAGAAATTAGTATTGTAGTTCAGAAGAGTCTAGCAACTTACCTAGCATCTAGTAGCTAGTAATGGGCAGATCCTACCATCAAAACTTCCATCATCAGCTTCACACGAGCTTCTTTATTGCATCCTTGAGTGTAGCTGAAAACTTGATTAGAAATCATTACAATTTTTCGATTTATTTGGAGGCTTTCAAAAAGCACTTTTATTAAGTTAATTAACACTAGGGGTTTCCTTTTCAGATTCAATATCCTAAAACTTTATTTTAGATTTAATATGCAAACATGTCTTACATTGTAATACTTAAAAAGGGAGAACAGGCAATCATCTCTATCTACACACAAATTTTCTATAGATTGTTACATCTTCTATGATATTCTGATTCACAATAGTGTGTTTCAATTATAAATATATAATTGTAATTGGGTTAAATAGTTGATGGAGGTATTAAGGGAAGCTGATGAGAAGTACTGGGAAGTGTATGGAAAAGTTGAATCACTTAAATCATTACCTGAAACAATATTACACTGAACTAACTAGACTTGAAATAAAACTGTACAGAGTAATACATTTATAGGTTGCATGGTGGAATTCTTCAAAGTAAAAGATACGTCAAGATTAAGTAGTAATTTTAATTTTTTTTGAGTTTAATATTTATTTATTTTGAGAGAGAAAGAATAACATGGTGGGAGGGGGCAGAGAGGGAGAACTACACAGAATCTAAGAAGCAGGTACCAGGCAAAGGCACAATGCAACACAGAGAACCAATCAGGGGCTAAACTAAATTGCATGAGATCTGCAGGCTAAGGAGCCTAACCAGGCAGCCGGAATAGGTAATGTATTTTTAAAAAACACTAGGGTTTCAAACACTGGTAAGCAAGTTCTGGTAAATATTACTTTAAGCAAAAGAGACCCAATTGGTTTCAATTTGGAATGGTGACCATGGGGGTTCCTTTGGGTTGACCAAGGGTCCCCAGGTGAGCCAAGTGTCCCCAGAACGGGCAGCGATGAAACCATCAGCACAGAGTGGTCACTAGAACCTCTGGCTCTCAGACTCTCTTAGAAGGTGCCCCTTCCTGCTCTGCCTCTTCAATACAGCTATTTCAGCACTTTCTAGTAAATGGGAGCCTCATTGAAGTACTTGGATACGAAGCTTCAAAACCACCCTCCTCTCTGTTTAAGAAGCCACTCACGCATATGTGATACAAAATTTATACATATGTATGTCTAGATATTGTTTTCTCCACAAATGTAATGCAATGTGAATACTACGTAACAATTTTAGTTTAAAAAAATGAAAAAGGGGAAAAAAAAAAGACGAAAGATGAACAAGGAAAACCTGTCATTTTGTGGTAGATGGTCAAACGGACCTGGAAACGCACTGCCTAGACTCAACTCATCTACTCTTTCTTCTTATAATCAACAAAGTATTTTTTTTTAACCTGCATTTACATAAAAGTGGAATAGTCAATGGGTGTATAGTGTTTTATTACTTAACGACGTCTGTAAACTTATAGTACTAAGAAAAAAAGAAAAAATACAGATTAAAAAATTGAAACAAAGATGCTTGTGTCAACAATGTTTATGTGGTTTGTTTATGAAAGCTGCATATTTTTGAGTATATTTGTGGATTCTAATTAATTTTTTAGTATTTTTTTTGGTTGTTTGTTGTAATAAACAATGTCGTTAAGGGAACTGAGGTGATTATAACTTAGCAACTAATAATAGTCAGAAGTGCACTTTGGGATCACAAGCTTCCCTCAGACTCTCAGGTGGGGTTCCACACTGTTGGCACTTACACACCACCTTCTTGGGCAATGTGCATTAGTTGAAGCATTTCCTCTCCAGAGGATAAGCACACAGCCTTCATGGGCCCTTCATCTCCATTTTCTAACCATTTGTCAATGTCTAATGTATTGATGTACTTTTTATATTATTCCCACTCCAGAAACATTTGATTTCTATAGGTCTTTGGTAGTGATAATATAATAACTTCTTCCATTCCTGAAGATTTTTGTAATTGCAGTGGTCTCTTTCAGTTTTTTCTCATCAGTCTAGACTTTGTCCCTATTCTGGGCACCCAGGTCCCCATCGGCCACCCCAGATTCAGAGTTTGAGGTGTCTGTCACCTTTGGCCTGTGCATCCCGGCCTCACCCCCCATCATCAAACATGATGCAGACACGATGCTCCCGGCAGGAGCAGGGAGCAGGCAGGAGGGCTGGTTCCCGAGGACATTTCCTCCCCTTCAGGTTCTTGGCCTGCTGTTTGCCCCTGGAAATCACGAGTATTGCTCCAGCCTGTGTCCCTTTCTAGTTGAGAAAGCCTTTTTGTCTGCGTTCGTCTCTCTGAGCCACATCAGACTGACACGACCGAGGCCTGTGTTGCTCAATCTTCCTTGACTGAGACCCAGAGTAAAAGCACGTATTAACGGCTGTGACCCAGGACGCACTCATACGTGTATATAAAATCAAGACGTTAAGTTCAGGGAATAATATGTATTCTGACCACGTGTTCATGCTTAACTACTTTCTGTTTTATTCCCTCTTTTTTCCCCTCATGCTGGTTTGATGTCTTGACCCGCTCGGGTTTCATGACCTACAGCTTAAAAACTCTTGAGAGGAGAGTGGGGGAGTACCATTCTTAGGCCCGTTTTACAAAGGAGGGGACTGAGTGCAGACAGGCGGGAGGAGCTTGTCCCCCGAGCCAGGGAGGGACAGGACTTGTATCCAGGGTACCCCGCCCCCCCAAAAAAAAGCCAGGAGAGGAGGAAAAGGGAGCGGTAGGATTTCTCTGAGACCAGGAGGTTGGGGCAGGCCACTCCAGTGAGGTGATTTCTGAGCAGAGATAGGAAGGAAGCCAGGGGCTGGCCGGGCAAGAGGGTGTGAGGCCGGGGAAGAGCAAGCCTGGGCAGACAGTGCCGTGGTCCTGCCCTCCAGTCCGACCGCCCCCGCAGGGCCCCGCGTGCCTTGACTGTGTTGACTGCCGAGGGCTCGGCCTGGCAAGAAACAGGCGTGAGACTCAGACCCCCGGCTCCTCTCTGGCTGCTTGTCATGCAGGACTGTGGCTCCTTCCTATAAGTCCTGACCTCTGGGCTGGCTCCCAGCACCCCCAGGGCCTGTTAAGCTGGGGTAGAAGCTCTCCAGGAGTGAGTGAGAGCTTTTGCCTCCTGCCGACTTCCTGTGACGAAGGCACGAGCCCAGCAGAGGCACGAGGCGCTTTCTACCACGCCACCCTCCTCCAGGCCTCCTTCCCCCATCCTGGTACCCAGCAGCACTACCCGGCAGGCCTCACTGCTGCCCGTTGGGGTGCTGTGCGGGGCCACTAAAGCAGATATGGGTGCTCTGTTTCTCTGCTCCTTCTGGGGCCGTGTCTGTGATGTTCTCCTGGTGAGAGGTGCCAGAGTCCAAGCGGAACAGGCTCCAGAGGAGAGACAGCTCCGGCTCAGCACTCATAAAGGCTGGGCCTCGGGCATGTTCTCGATGCTGTAACTCCAACAGCCCTCTCCCTCTCCCTGGAGTCACTCTTTGCAGCAACTAACAGGAAGCCATTATTGAGCACTTACTGTGTATAGGGCAGGGTGTTGGGCCTAAGGTTAAGTCCTTGCTTCTGGTGTTTAGGGGCTTCCCAGGAGATGTCACCAAACACAGTGGGTACTTCTGGGCCTAGCGACGAGACTGGGGAGACGTGGGTACGGCTGCTCCAGGAGAGCTGGGAGTCAAGCTGGGAGGCAGGATATGCTGATGAGCTGACAGGGTAAATCGCTCTGAAGTGTGTGAGTTTGGACTTTGCCTTGTAAACACTGAGAGCCAAGGAAGGTCTTTGATCACGCAGAGCGTCTTGGGGGTTGGAGGGAGATTAGCTTGGCAGGGATGTGCAGGAGAGACTGGGGTTGGGAGCAGGGGAGGAAGCATGGCAGGCAGGCCTGTACCTGTGATGCAGAGTCGGGAAGGAGACTGACGTAAGGAAACTCCTGCCAAAGTCCAGATCCGCAGGGCTGTGTGGCCAACCTGCTCTGAAGGGTCGGGAGGAAGGGGGAAGAGGTGAAATTCAAGACTGGGGCCCTTCCGGCCTTTTCTGAGAAGAGACCGGGAAGTTCCAAGGGGAAGCGGGTGTGGGGGAACCAGAGCTTTCTGGAGGGACCACTTCATGTCAGAGCGTGGTTGGAGGAGGAGCTCAGGTTGGGCCTGCGGCTCTCTCTTCTTCCTCGCAGCGCGGCCTGTGGACCTCGGTGGCCTAAGGTGAGACAGACAGCCATGGGGGTGTCCCCAGCGATGCGGGGAGAGGTGGTCGCTTGGCACGGTCCGTCACCGTGCGATGTCACCTGTTCGGCGTCGGACAGCCTGTCAGGGCTGGGGGGTCTAGAGCTGGCTGAGACGGGGGTCACCTGGGCTGGGCTGGGCTGGGAGCTGCGGAGTGTGGTGGAGTGGCGGGGCCCTCCTGTGTACGCGGCCCCTGAGAGAACCCCCCTCTGTCTCCCTCTGCAGTGATGGGTCGTTCCCCTATGACTCTGTCCCTTGGCAGCAGAACACCAACCAGCCTCCCGGCTCCCTCTCCGTGGTCACCACGGTTTGGGGAGTGACCAACACATCCCAGAGCCAGGTAAGAGCCTTTCCTGCCCCCAGCCCCTCCCAGGCAGGACCATCCCCTGAGCCCCGGGGCCTTTGGGTCCCCATCCCGTGCCAGCCCTCCTGGCTCTCCCGGGCTCTGCCTGGCTGGAAAGACCGGCTCTCAGGGCACACTCAGCTGTGGGCACGCCTCTACCCTCCACACCTGCCTCAGGAAGGTGGCAGCTGGCCCCTACACACCGTCCCCGGTCTGGGGCCCTTCCTGGGGAATGAGTCTCATCTGACGGAGAGCCAGTTCTTCCCCAGCCCACGTTTACTTTGGTTGGATAAATGGGAGAACTTCCTGGCTGTTACTGGCCTCAGGGCCCCAGTGTCTGGGGTCTTTGACACTGGGTAACCTGGGTTAGATTTTAGCAAAATGGTGAGCTTTCAGCTTGTGACAAACCCCTCCCCACACGCCTGGCCAAACCTGCCTCCTGCTCTCGCCCCTTCCTCTTTCCTCCACTCCTTCCTCTCCCGCCGGCCCAGCCTCTGCCATGGCCATGCGGAAGGCTCCGGGCTGTTTGCCGCCTGGGAGGGCACCACTGGGCCTCCCTGCAGTCTCGGGGCACAGGGGTCCCTCGGCCAGCATCCTGCCACCCTCCGGAGCTGGCAGATGGGCTCTCTTCGCCCTCACGGAGCAGCATCCCAAGGCCTCTGTGTGGCCCGACCCTCCGGGCATCCAGGACCCTTGGCAGGGGGAGGGCTGAGAAGTCCAGTGCCTTCCACCTGGCACCAGGGGCAGGACCAGCCCTGCCTCACTCGATCACAGGCTGAGGCTCTCCTCTTCTGTGCTGCCTGCTTCCAGGCTGCATTACCCCTTCGAAGCATTCATATGCTCTGGGAACAATTCATGCCTCCACTTTTCTCCTCCTTTCTCTCTGTTCTCCCTCTTTCACCATCGCAACCCCCCCCCC